AGAGCAGGCTAATACTACTGATTTTTCAACCTAAATATCTGAAAATCAAGTCACATTCCTTTCCCATTTTTCATTACATGAATAACAAGGATTTTGCAAATCCAATGACCCCCTACAAATGATATCTGATAAATTTCCTTTTATATTCATGTTATCCCTGTCATTACATTAATATGACCTCCTGTTAATACAATACTTTGGGGAGACAAATTTAGTGGCAAGTTCCCACAGACACACAAACTCAGGAAGTYCACAGCTCCCAGTGGCTTTTACTGTATACTTGGTGTTTACCTGGAAGTGCTAGGCAAAAGTTCACACTCTCTTGCTACAATTTCTATTATGAATGGGATGAAAGGTACTCAATAAAAAGGGTAAACCACTTTGTCAAAAGTGCTGCTGAGGCAGCACCAATTCATCTTATCTTACTTTTTGAGTACCTTTAAACTTGCCTGTGGGGACTGCCTTTAGAAAATGCACTCAGAATCCATTTCAATTACATTTTGTATTCTCTCTATTATAGCATGCCAGCATAAAACTTCAAATGTAATAGATTTGAGAGAATAGCCTCAAACTCAAAAGTACTCTCATTAAAACAATTCATTTCAAAATAGCTTCTAAATAAAGGACAAATTATAAGGACTACTGATCTGTKCTGGAATGATTTGATCTAGGAGGCAAAAGCCTTCACTTTCTTGTTTGTTTACTGGGACTTTAATTTTAGAAGGCATATTAAATTAGGCACTCATCCTGCTTTCTTGATTGCTAAAATAATCACTGTTTCTCAAGAAAAGGAAAAAAGATCAAGAAAGCAAAGCAGGAGGAACAGGTAGCCCTTCTCCTATACATCCTGAAAACTTTTTACTGTGATGTTTCACAGAAGGTGTCATGTAATTTAAATATATTGGCATTCTCCTGAGTTCAGCATCACATAAAAATATGGACAATGTCTACACACRACTTACATCTCATTGCAGTCATATTCAGTGTGTGCCAGGCTTTCACAAAGAATTTTTGCCAGTAAGGCTGTTTCTTTTGGACATCAAGAACACGAATGTAGCTCTTAGTTACAGTCCCTTTTTCTCAGCTCCAAAGCAGTCTTTTGTGTACTTTCACCTTTTACTGCTCTTCTCTTCACCTCTTCCTATTTACAAACTGCAGTAATTAGAACAATATTGTAAACAATGATGTTAAGTCCTCTGATGCTCTAGTTACTCTCAAAGGAAAAACATAATCAGGAAATGTAATTTTAACCAAGTTCAGAATCATTTTACACATATAAAACAGGCTACACTACCATAAACTATAAACATTCAAACTGAAGTTCAAATAGTACCCTAGGCATACTTTCACTGATGCACAGAGACGCAGTTGAGAACAATTCTCATGATTTTCAGTATTATGTATCTGTACAGTGACATCCTGAAATTACATGAAGACCTGAGCTACTTCCCTCACTGAACCTTCAACACACAACTGTGTTTCATTACAGATGGTTTCAACAACTCAGATCTCATACATTCAGAGCGTGTTGCACTGTGCTGTCCCTTGCCCTTGCTATCCCCATGTGCCAGGGAATGTGACAGAGCAGAGCTGTGAGGACCAAGGACAATGAATGAAACGTTTGACACCATGTTTTTGTCCCATGTGTCATCAAGTGGGGCTACACTCCAAGAAGCACCATGAAAACACTCCCCATGAAAATACTCCCCACGCACAGCCTCACGAAGCAGCACCCACTGTACCACAGCTCCTGCACCTGCCCATCAGTCACACCCCGTGCCAGGGGCRTTGGGTGACACAACAGCCACGCTCTGCATGACAAAAAAGGATCCTGAGAGACATGTACACACTAATTAAGCCTGTCAACTCAGGCACGGACTGACATCCTAGTGCAGTGTGCCCTACACAAACATGCTTTGTCAAACTATCTTGGCATAATATTTATGATGCATGGAGATCAATACATCATAGCAATTTTTAATCTTCATCTTCTGTTTCACAGAACAATATGAATATATGTAATGGCACAGGAGGGTAGGTGAATTGCATCAAGGGAMCTAGAGTAAGAGGCTGAAGGGAGAAATCTCCTAAGAGAGTTAAGGAAATATAAATGTAGCTACCTGGACTACTTGGACTAAAAAATGGCCCATTTCAGCACTCTAAATTGCTGTAAACTTATTTAAGCTTATAAAAGAAAATACTCTTGCTGCTCAAAATTCCTCTGCTTTGCAGTGATATTTTTTGTGATTAATCAAAACTGACTGGAGAAGAAATCATCTTTTAGCCTTCCTTTTGGTAGTTCCATACAGAAATAGAACAAAATTTAAAGCTGTGAAATCATAAAAATAATTCTAAAAATTCTTCCATTCAAGAAAAACCTACCAAAGCCAATCTGGTGTGCAGGTAATAGCTAACATAACCAGATCTGCCATTCTCTATGACTTTACAGAATAAAAATCTAACATAAAACACATTCTCATTTCTTAATAAAGATCTGATTTTGCATACAGGGAAACTTCTATTCTTGGACACATAAAAATATGGAAAACCTCAGAAAATATTTACTTACACTTTCCACCTTTGGTAATTACTTAGAGATAAATTTACCTACTTAGTAACTCTTAGGAGGCTCCAAGTTATAACTCCTTGGTGTAAATTAACTACATACCAATAAAAAAGTCAGGCAGGAGAACGCAGCACTGACTTTTGCAAAAATTCTCATGCACCCCAAATTATTCAAGCTATACTTCTGTAATGCCATTTGCATCTCCAGACACCTGCACAAAGTACAGAGGACCTCGTGTGATATCAGCTGGCTTCAGCAAACTGCTCTGCTGCAGACAAGAACAGGGTACTCACGGTGTGTCTGGAAACCTCAAACCCTYGTAAATGGTATGACGTGACCCACACAGAGTGACCTACGGTGTTTTATTTGCACTAATGAAGAAGAAGGGGAAAAGACATCAAATTTAGGAGTTGGATTAGACCTTCAGTTTGCTTCCTCAATAGGCTGATGGTGAAATGACACAGCAAAAGGGGCATTTCACAGGTATTTTTGCCTTACTAACACGTCTGTTTACCCACTGGGTCAAAGAAGTTGGCGTATTCCAAAAACATTTTGGTGAGTATGGAGCTTGGAAATAAATCCCRCTTAGCCATTGTTAAGAGCTCCATGTTAACTGACTTCAGGAATGCACCCAATAAGGAAATAAACTCTCTTTATCACCAGTCCTTGGTTTCTGGAGGGCTCCACGGAAGAGCTAGACTCAGCAGGCCTGCTCCCAGGTGGAATATAGAAGTACCTAGGAAGGTTGCAGAGAAATGGGCAGAGTGAACTTATTTAGATGAAAAACTCTGGTTTCTCCTTTATGAAGAGCAAGAACAAACACATACAGACAACATTGCAATGCAAAGTACTAATTCTTGTCATAATAAACCCCTAAAAGGTCACACTGGGGAATAAACAGGGAATTAATATTTGAAATCCATAGTTCAATCTGCCATACTGAGTCTTGTTTGGTAACTAATACATGAAAGCTGACAAGACAAGAAAGTATAGTAATAGCAATAAGGTAATGCATTTGGCTTCCTTCCAGATTATTCCACCTTCTCCTCAGCCCAATTTATTCAGTCCAGAAGAAAAAACACCTTATAAGTATCAAACTCAGTCTCAAATAATGAGCCCTGCTAGGATGTGAAGCGTATCATTCTGCACAGAGCTGCACCGAGGCAGATCAAAGCTGGCTTGATTGAGCCAGTTTGAAGAACAAAGGAGTTGCAGCCGCCGGGACACGGAGCCACCCAMAACACTGAGACACCGAACTGTCCCACCAGCACGGAGACACTGAGTCACCATCAATCACCTGCTGCTCTAGGAAGGGCCTGGCTTGGGAAACCTCCTCAAGTGAGGGCAGATTGGAACTGCTGAGGCCAGTTCTTGGAGCTTTGGCATTAACTGCAACTTTCACAACTGGGGTTAAGGACAACTCTTCAGCAAGCCTGACAGAGAAATTGTTAATTCTCCTGTCTTCAGGAGCTTCCAAAGAAATTTCCAGCAAACCAAATCAAAAATCCAAATATAAGCTGAAATGCCCAGACACATATATGAAAATATTACTTCATTGTTTAACTATAGCCTGCTCTGAGATAAAATGCAGTAGCCTTATTTTTAAACAGACTGGCTATAGCTTCTTGCATGACTGGTGCTAAGGGAAAATGTGTTTCACTGTGTCRTTTAAAGAAATATCCTGTTCAGTATAGTTAAATATTTACTGTTTTTATTTGTATATTACAGACAAAATCTTAAAGCACAGCAGTTAGTTTGCAAAGGTCTCAAATGCTGGCTCCTTTTGTTCCTTGCCACAAGAAAAATATCTTTGCCTATACTACCCTCTGTCAACATCAAACACATACAAGGACATTTTAACGTGATTGTACTCATTGTGGACTACATGTCACATAAGGATTGACCCTGCAATAATATCCAGACTAAGAACTTTTGGTGTGTACACAGAAAAAAAAGAAGAAACTTTAGACAAGATTGTCCACTAAATAATTCTGCCACAAAGTTCCAATTATCCCTGGAAGCACAAAAGAAAGGTGAAAAACAGGTTAATTTCCAAGACTGTAAGGAAAAGCTTCTTTATGGGGAAGAAATGTGACAAACAAATGGTAGGTATAACATATTTTCACATGATTTCTTAAACATCATTGTGTTTACTCATGTTTTTAAYTATCAAGGAAGGCTGAGAAGGCAAACACCATATAATATCTGAACCAGCTTACTCAGCTTCTGTTGTGTAAACTACCAGAGCTCTCAATGTCAGTGGATCTCCCAAACAGCTGGCAACAAGCTGATTTGTAAGTTCACAAAATTGGGATGCCAGGCTGAGCTCCTCGAACCTCAGAAATTTCTCACTTAAAGCCCCATTCCCTGACCTTCCCTTTGGGGTTTTTCATTTGGATGGGGTGATAGGTCTTAAAAGTCCTAAAAGACTGACCTCTTCTAGTTGACAGGCTTTGATGACACTCTTGTACCGGTATTCATCATAGGATACACCAAAGATAATGTTTTCTTTTATTGTTCCAGGCATGATCCAGGACACTTGAGGTGAAAAGGATATCCTTCCACTGTGTTTAATTTTACCCTGAGAAGGCTCCAATTCTCCCATTATCAACATCAGAAGAGAAGTCTGAAAAAACATTGACACTTGATTAATATATCAGAGATCTGTACAACAGTAAGAATAAGAAATAAGAAATGTTGAACTAAGTGAGAGTCACCCTGCTAAGTCACTTAAAAGGCATATCTGTCTTGTCAAGAGTGTCCCTATAAGGACTGATTTAGTGCAAACTGCAGTTAGYGGAGATTTTCATGATCAGTGTGATTCTGAAAGGCCTCTATTATGAGAGAAACTTAATTCAATCAATTATAAAAATTGTGTAAGATATCTTGTAAAAAAGGCATGCTGCTGCAAAGGAATGTCATTTTAGTGACACTTTCAATAATTTTACAAGGTAAAAACCTATCTGTGAGGCACATACAGACATAAGATACTGGTATTTATGGAGAATGTTTGATTTTTCACATTATCTGTGACTATTTTGTTAGTTCTTCATACAACATAATTCATGTTTATAATTTTGCTAGTGTTCATGAGTATTATCTGCATTGCCTTGAAAAATGCAACTTCTTTGTGTAAGTATATACAATTGCTCAGTCTGAATTTTCCTCTGTAACTGTTCACTCATTTACGTGAATGCATGACCTAAGTGTATTTACTATTTCTCTTCATAAAAGAATTGATTGCAACTTCAGCACTGACATGTTATAATTTCAAAGTTAATCAGTAGCTTGTRGTAACCTTGTCACACATCACTGGCTACTAGATCAAAGAATAGAATTGAGAAATACACGGAAAAATATGTTACACAGCCATTGCAGTGGTGTTGTTATCACTAATAAACAGTCAACAAAGTTGGGACGTAACAGCCAAAGATCTAAAAAATTTGTCTAAGTCACAGTTTCATGCTGTCAAGCCCAGAGATCTTTTTGCAAGTTATACAATATATTGGGGAGTCACATGAGATTTCTTCCATTATACCAGAATCTGACTTTTCCAAAGTGCTGAGTAAGAAGTTTCCAATCTTGCAAAGGACAGCCACTTGGTCTGTTTTGTACACTGGATGTTAAACTACTGGATCTTGTGCCAAAATTGTTCACAAATTCAAAAACAAAACAAAACCAAAACAATACTGAAGCAGTATTAAAGAGCTGATGTCACGCTGCATATCTGTAATAGATAAAATAGTTGTGCAGCTGTTTCACAGGCCTTACAATTCCTGGAATATACAGTAACAGCCTCAAGCAATATGAAGGAACCCTTACATTAAGAAGGTGTAAGGGAAGGGCAGTATTTTTGGGGAGGGGTGGGGGGGTGGGAGGCAAACCTTATTTTTTACAGCTTTTTCAGATAAGGCTTTTATTTTTATTGCCTTGAAAAATGCAAATTTGTTGTATGTATATTCCGACATAAACTGCTCAGTGTAATCTAAATTTTCCTTAATTTCCTATGTAGCAGAATAAAGGGGATATACATACAACCCTCAGCATTTTTTAGCTGACATTTCTATATAACAATAACCAGCATTAGCAATAGCCATATATACTATTTTATTAATTCAAAAGWATCACAGTAAAATGCACCTTAACACATTACCTTGAGGACAATCTCATGTTCTGACTCCCTTGCTCTTTCTTATGGGGATCATTACTTAAAAATAAGAAGCCTTGATCATATTGAAATTGATGGGTTCTTTGTCATTGACTCCAACAGACCAAAGATTTTACCCCRTGCAAGTAAAAGAAATCACAAAATTTTCACTTATATTTTGTTAAACAAGGAGAAGCATAATGAACATTTAACTTTCACATCTCCTCAAAAACCCAGTGAAGATGAAAGACTCATCTAACTACTTGCTCCTCAAATTGAGTAACACAACTCAATACATTTTATATTAATGAAGTTAATTGGATGTGTCATCTGAAAACTAAATTCATTGATAATATTATGGGGTAATAAAATGATAATTTGAAATGGTGATTAATCTAAACAACAATTTTCCACAGAAAATCAGCAATTTCAGCAGCACCTCCCCAGGCTTTCCCATGGGTGTCAGGGAGCTTGAGTGAGGCACAGTAGGAACTGGAGCTAAGTGATCAGGTACACCACATGTCTGGGACACACACTGGCTAAATTCCTGTCAGGCTCATCAGGTTACTACCCATCTTGTATTCAAATTTTTCCTTAAAATGTTAGCAAGGAATGGGACAAAAAAGCTTTCTAGTACTGAACCCCCTGAATATCTGTGTCATATTCTTCGTTTTTTTTAAAGGCAGAGAGATTCTCACCATGAGCCTTAACTTTAGGTTTCAGTCTGCACTACTCCTGTAAAATTTCCTTTTACTTCCAATGGGACATGGAAGTCATGAAACTTGCATCTTGTCATGAAACTGTTATTTCTTTCTATTTCTCTATCTTTCTATTACACAAAAAAATTCAGCAAACTCTGACTCATATTGGCCACAGAGTGGCCAATTTCAAGCAACTATTTTAGTGAAACTTGCAGTTTCTCCATACCCTTTCCTGCAGCCATCATTTCTGCAACAAGCACAGGATGGCAAGAGTACAGTAACAATAGAGGTAAGAATACAGGTAACAACACAACATTTTTCCCTTATAATTATTAGGACTCTCGTTGAAACAGTAGAAATAGAAATACCTTGCCTGCTCCAGTAGATCCAGAAACAGCTAATAGCTGCCCCTTCTCAATCTTGAAATTTATATCTTGAAGAACAGGAGAGGCATGAAGTGGAAAATTACTGAAGAAGAGATTGCTTTCAGTGCTAGGAGGTTTGCTGTTGTTGTTTTCCTGGTTTGCTTTAACAAACAGCTCTCCAATTCCCTGAAACATACATGGATATGTATTAGATGTGCATAAAAAATAAATAAAACATGCATATGCAGAGATGTATATCATATTATGGACTTATGAAAACATATGAACTTACTTTTCTCATGTTACTTTGCATATCAATAAAATACTCATATTCCTAAATATACATTTTTTTAGATGTATGTATTGAACTTGCAACTAAATTTGTGGACACAAACAAAATTTGCTTATTTTAGAACTGTTTCCCAATGTTTATACATGCCACAGCCTGATCCTGTCTTCAGGATAGCTTAAATCAGTAATAACTACTTATTACAGGCCTTAACACTTGTTAGAGGTCTTCTTCCAAAGTTTTTCAACTGGGGATAATTTGATCTCATGCATTAATTACTTACTCAGTATTCCTTACCTGCTGAGAGCTGAAGCTAGTTAAAATGAAGGAGTGTAGGCTGCTCTTTTTAGAGAACATAATGGAAAATACTTTAAAAAAAGATACTCTCCTTGTTTTAATACAGTTTGGGTGGAAGTACCAACCTCATCCCAAAAAGCTGTTACTTTGTCCACCTCTACCCCAGTGGTTGTTAGGTTGTACTCCAGGGCTTTATATTCTTTTTTCAGCAAAAAATCCTAGAAACACCATGAGAGAAGATGAAACAGTAAGGGACTAGGTCATATCACACAAAGCAGTACATATTTGCCTACATGGAGCACTAATATTTCTGGTGGTACTTTTGCATTTTAGTGCTTTCAGCAAGAGACATAAATATAACTTATATGTCATCTTTTGCATGTGGAAGGAAATATTTTTGAAACTACCAATTCTTTCATTGTTAGTGAAAACAGAGCCATAAAGGTATTTGGTTGTGATTTAGAAAGAATGMCAAAACTTGACACTTGTATTGCTTTTGGGACTTGTACCATAYGAGACCATCTCTCTGAGCTTCACCCTTTTCAAACAAAGCTTTGGTTTTGGAGTAAGATGTAGAAGGTTGCACTCTGGTAAACAGTGAAACAAAGCATCTACATGCTCCTTTCTCCTGTTCCAAAAGTGCAAGAGTTTAAAAGAGTCGGAATGATCTCTCTACCAACAAAAATAAGAGGCAGATAATGATCCTGGCAAGTGCAGCACTGATTACTGTAGTGTAATTTCAAAAGACACAAGTCAGCACCCTGGTGCACCTTTCGCCTTCTGGGATAGCATCAGGAAATAAAAGTAAGCCTGTGCTAATGCAGGGAAAACAGCATCCCTATTCTATTATTTTGTTAAGTTTATATRATATGCAAGTATCATCTCCTCCAAATTAGTAACTTTTTTAATTATGTGGAAGCAAATACATGGGCAATACAATGGAAAAACTAAGCAGACTTGTGAGAAAATCTGTTCGCTACTTTATTCTTGCAGATTTTCCTAGTAGAACAAGGAGAAGGGAAAAAACAGATGATTGAAAGGGCCACAAACTGAAAAACTGGAAAGCAAAATATGCATGGTTTATGGGGAAAAAAAAAGAAATTATATCTATGCTTTCATAAAAAAAGGAGTCATCCAGTGGAGTTCCTGAATAAGTGATAGTCAGAGAGAATACACTGTGAAATATCATGGTCTAGAAAACATGTGAAAATACAATAACCCAAGGGATATACCTGGCCCAGTCAACTCCCTAAACTGATAAGGAAATTAAATCAGAGAAGTGCATGAATGGTTTATTATTTGTTTCTTAAGACTAGTGAAGGGCTTTGGTGTTCTGGGATTCTGTCCACTCTATGGGGACTATACTGAACCTGCCACAAAGAGATGATTATTTATGGATTCTGGAGGACTCATTTGCTAAAATCCCCAAAGCGTTTGGTGAAGTTAGGGCAACGGTGTGGCAGCTGGGCTTGCCAATACTATGACAGGGCATTGGACACACTGCCAGGAAATAGAAGAGACAGGATACTTCCATTAATGCCTAGAGAATCTGAGAGCACAAGAAAAGTCTATTATGACACCTTACAAGCCTTCTGAATGTCAAATAGAAAGGTTTATGGCTGGATCTTTTAAGTTTCCTGCCCAGCTGAAAAATCATAAAAATCCTACACCTACTTCTTATTCCATACTAGACTTTTGATTGATATCTGATTCAGATATCTGATTGAGATATTTAAGTTCTGTATTAGTTATTTTTATCACACTAAAAATAATAAAATCTATGTTCTACAAAAAAAAAACCAAACCCACGTCTATAAATACATAATGAAAAAGGCATTCGATTTCACCCCAAWATAGTGTAAGAATTCTTTTCCTGGGAAGTAATTTCAGAACAGCAGATTAAAAAAAGACAGACTTAATGAGAATTCACCCTGATATGACTCTGCAGATAAGCCTCATGCTGKTACATGAGCAACTGATCTCAGTAGGTAAGGTGGATAATAATTATTTGACTGGTACCTCAATTATATTTGGTACTCATAATGAATGAGATGCACATTTGCATAAGATGCAGTCTCCTGCTGTTCTTGCCACTAATACCTAGAAAAACAGAAGAACTGAGACTGCAACTCCTGGAAGTTATATAAAATATCTACTATAGAAAATATGCTATATAAAACATGTACTAATTTTGAACTTCCTTTTCTGTAGGAAAAACATCTCTTATGCATCACTACTCATGATTTTATTAAATTCTGTGTTCTTCAATGAGAATAACTAACTAAATGCCACTGTTTCAAAAAAAAAAAAAAAAAAAAGGCTTCTGTGGTTATCCTGCCTGGGCAACAATATCAAGATTTACAATGACATTTCATGGTGTTTAGTCAAAGCAACATATATTCAAAAAGTCTGCATAAATGCTGTGTGCTTTTGTTGATCAGCTGACAAGATAACATGATATAAAGAATTAGCTTACGTACTTGGGAAGATTTCAGTCTAGGTACCCTACCTGTATTTTGTTTATTGCTCCAATAGAGTCATACCAGGTCTGCACAGCGCCAGGAAACTGCCTGGTCACTGTCATTCGAAGAACAATGCAGAAGGAAATGGTGGTAAATATTTTTCGGAGAATAATTCCTTTAATCAAAGCATACGGAAGCACGGCTAAAAACACCACAAAGAAGCCCGAAAAGAAGAAGGCTGAGCTGTTGAAATATCTCATATAAGCAGCTTTTCGGGTAAGCTTCAGTTCAGTTCTGTTAAAAAAAAAGTGCAAATAATTAATGTATGATTTTCACAGTTTTGGATGGAACTGTTGGTATAACAATTAACTCAGAGGCTCACTCATCCCTCTTATTTTCTAGAATTGCAGTTACAAAGTAACCACTTCAGATCCTAAAAAATCATTAGCATCAAATTTTCACATCAATGTTCAGAGATGTGAKATAAAATAACAATAATCTGTCATGATTTAGATACTGAATAAACGAAAAGCCTCTACAATCCCTGGCACAACCAGCCTTAAGCATCTAACACTGCCATATATGATGCACTCCCAGAAGCACACTCATCTGGTCATTTAGATACATAACTCCCCTAGAAAAATGATGCTTTGAAATGCCAGGTTTGCTATATGTGATCATAAAAACCTTACAATAGACAATTTGAGTATGAGTCCATCTTCTTTTACATGGCAACCTATTGGCAGCCATGAATTAAGGCGTCATTTAACCTCAGTTTGAAGAGGTGAAAGGCAGGGACTCTGCTCTTCACCCTCCTTTCTCCACAGAGGCTCAGTCCATGGAGTAGCTTACCCACTCCTGTGCAGTCAGGAATGGAATTGGTGATTACTCTGAGCTGCTTCCACAAAGTCTATGCATCTCATAGCAAGCTATTAAATAAAAAGGATAACTAATCCATGGGATATAAATAATTTTCTGAGTTGATAGCTCTAACTCACAGTGCTGAAGATTTATATTGACTGCTCTCATGATGACCCTGTTCACATCCCCCAGGTGCCCTGCAGCTCAGTTTTGCCTGGACAGAAGCACCTCTGCTGCAGTGACAGAGCTGTGGCTTTCCTGCAAGAGCAATTAACTGGGGCTAGGGATGGAGCTAGATCCCAAGATGCCCATTCCCTGGGTGAGTGCACCATTGGGCATGGTGCAGAAGTTTGCAGTCACATTGTTGATGGCAATACCTGGTGTTGCAAGGCTGAGCACCACAACCTTTATGTGTCTTCTCACATTGAGCCAGTGTTTGCATCCGGAGTTCATCCCCACTGGTGCTGTGTGAAACTCCCTTTCAGCTCCACACCACACACGCATGAGACTTCCACATGCACCCAGCATTTTATCAACTTTTTTCAAATCTTACCAACTTTTCTTATCTACATTTTTTCAGCCAAAGAGATCTTGAAAATCCCTGACAGAAAACCTGAGCTCAGTCTGTTTTGAAGAGGGACCTAGCATTTCTCACTAAGTCTATATTTCACAAGAGAAGCCTGAATAAAGGAGCCAGACATAAAAGTCACCACCATGATGGAGCCACTGCCTGGGAGAAAGGGCCTTGTAAAACCCTCCAGAGGTTTTGTGAAACTGCGAGTGGCAGCATCAAATAGTAATAACACAGTTTTTGGGATCTGGCGCTCATCCAGTCCCACAAAGATGTCTGGCTAGAAGCCAGCAAAAAGCCCCAGGGCTGAAGACCACAGCCCTACTCCAAAGAGGGAGAATGAAAGCACTAATCCTTTTCAAAATGTTCCCAAGTACCAGCCACAAACTGATGCAGCCGCAAGCAAAAGTTTTCCAGAGRTGGTTCTGTCTGTGATACAGACTTGAAAGCTCTGTAGATTACACACCCACTTGGGACAGGTCTTGCTGATTCAATATGGGTAATTTGAAAGATATATAAGGACCCTACAAGCCTTGTGCATATAGAGAGTGCAGTGTATGCCTGTTTTTGGAGCGATGCTGCAGGAACCAGTACTGCTAYATAAACTTGAGATCTTTCACTTTATACAAAGTTGTGTCTCTGCTGGCAAAGTACAGACCCTTCCAGCCTTCCCCTTCTCCAGTGCTATGCTACGGTTTGACCTGTTGGGTGACTCAAAAAAATACAGAAGAATCATAGAATTATAGCATAGTTTGGGTTTGAMGGGACCTTCAAGATCATTTGGTTCCAACCCTCTGGCAGTAAGCAGGGACACCCCCACTGCACCAGGTTGCTCCAAGCCCCATCCAGCCTGGCCTTGAACACTTCCAGGGATGGGGCATCCACAGCCTCTCTGTTCCAGCGCCTCAACACCCTCACAGGGAAGAATTGCTTCATRATATCTAATCTAAATCTACCCTCCTTTAATTCAAAGCCATTCCCCCTTGTCCTACCATCATGTACTCTTGCAAAACATCTCTCTACTGATTTCTTGTAGACTTCCTTCAGGTACTGAAAGACCACAATAAGATTTTCCCAGAACCATCTCTTCTCTAGGCTGAATAATCCCAATTAACTCAGCCTTTCTTCACAGGCCAGGTACTCTGATCTTGTACTATTGTTGGCATTCTTGTCTTTTAAAAAAAGACCATATACATAACAATAAAAATTAACTCCAGCACTACAAAATTTACTATATATTATTATAGAAAATAYAGATAATAAAATAACAGTCCAATTTACAGATTTCTGTGACCAGTTCGTCAACTACAATTTATTTAATTCATTTCTAGAGGATTTACTAGCATGATGTGGCCTCAGATTTCCTAAATGTGATGCATGTGACTAGTGACATCAGTGGAATCCTAAACTAGTTCCATCTTCAAGCTAGCACTCATTATCTAGATTCCGAGTGAGCTTTCTTTGATTGTTTATAGTAAATAATTACAAATTCTAATGGTAAAGAACACTTCACCTTCCCTGGATTGTCTTTCAGAAAGCAGCTGATCAAGAAAGTGTTTGTGGAGCAATATAATTTTATGCCTTTTATTTACATGATAATATGACATTTATATTTCTTTTATTTTCCCAATCACACACCTGGCACCGAATTTTATTTCTGTGTAAAGGACTAAACAAACACACGGGACACATGGGAGAGCTTTAATGCAGCGTCACCCATCAATCAATATGTCACTTCTCCTCCCTTTCCCCAGGACGCCTTGCTGGTAACAAAGACTTCCTTCTCACAGGTCTCAGCTAACTTTTACCTCCTTTCTCCTTCAGGTTTAGTAGTTACAGTTCAATCTTTATATTAACTGATGAGATAAGCATTCTAAAAGGCCATCTACCGACTATAAATGTTCATATAAATGTGAAGGATAGATACATGCATCTATGCTACTTTAACCCTCTCACAGATTGCATGCAAATTTTATAACCAGCTTTATTGCATTTCTCAGAAAATGGCTGTACAGGATTCATTTTGCTTCCTTCACCACAGAATAGGGACGTCTGTTAAGCCCTAAGTAACCGTCACAAAAGGGCTTTTTATTTTAAGATGAGGACAGGGTTGGCCAGAAACAAACACAGATCCCACAATTGTTTTACCTGCGCAAACTAACCACTGAAACATCATTATAACAAATGAGGAAGTAAATAAAAAAAAGAAAAAAAGTCTCACCTCCATAGTAAACTTGAAAAAAAAAATTGGGGAAAAAACCCAAGCTGCAGTGTGGGAATGCATGGTTAGTTTATTAAGGATTAATAGTTGTTGCTTTACTTCTTAACTAACATGACCACAGATGATGTCCATAGCCATCTGATTTTTTTTCTGAACACGTAATAGAATTTGTGTAACAAATGAGCACACTTACTCGCGGATGTTTTCAATCATTTTTTCCATTGCATCTTCCCAACAATAGGCTTTAACTGACTGTATATTTTCAATTATTTCTGACGTGATGACAAGTCTCTCATTGATCTTTCCTGCTCTCTTATTCCTACAAAGTGAAAAGGCAGTAGGTCAATCTTCATCTTTTTCATCCTGTAAACTTAGCTTATTAAACCATTTTATCTTATGAAAACAGTTTTCATATACGCCTCTGCTTAAAGTACTTACTTTAACAGAATTATTATGAAGAATGTAGAAGGAATTATTATAAATCTGATCATTGTTTTCAAAGCAGCAAATACAAACTCAAAAAATAATAAATCAAGTAACTAACAAGGAGTTTTAATTCTAAAAATCCTACATTTAATGCTAAATCTAATTTTAACACTATTTATTTCATGCTAGACTTTTCATTTTTTAAAATTTAGACACCTGCTTCCAAATAAGTAAAGTTTTGTCTGTAGTTTTTCCTAAACAGAAAGCACTCTTTGGACTCATATTATATAATGTCATAACCAGAGTCCCTCAATCAAATGGYAGAAATTTCTTAAAACCAATGTGTTTCAGGAAAATATATTGAAATATTTAAAACATTCTTGTCACCTGTATTTCATCATCATTTGTCCCAGCCAGGCTTGGAATAAGACCATGACTATTAGAAAAGCAAGTCCAGAAAATGCAGAAGCTTCTAACATATCCCAGAGCAATCCCATCAGCAGGGCCACTTGTAATGGTGCAATCCATACAAAATGAGCCAGAGCAAGACCCTATGGAAGGCCACAGTAGAAAAAAATAATTTATAGTTGTGCTCTAAAAACTACATGACAAGAAAGTAGTCATCAAAGTGACATTTTGAAAAATGTAATGAAGAATGGTACAAATATTTCCAGTAGAAAAACAAGTTTATGAAGGAGGACTTGTGATCCTGAGCACATAGCACTCTGGGTGCTAAATACGATGACAGTGCAGCAATACATTTACATTCCACACCTAAACTTTGATTTTTCTAAGGCAAAGTTCAATCTGCAACTGTCTCTTTGTTATGTATATGCATGAGGAAAAGTCACAGCTTTGTAAAAGTAAACTGAATTTGGCATCAGTGCTGGCTTTTTCAACCACTGTAATATGAGAAAAATACATGTAAGAATCTTCTGAGAGCGTGTTAATCTGATACAGAAGGCAAATATTACTGTGGTGAAGAGATGACTGTTGTATGAACACAACTAATTCAATGCAGATTGCCGCCCACTTCAGTCACATTCCTTCGCGTTCAGCTTTTTGCCTGAACCCCGTGATCAGGTGCACAGGGGTCTGTGTTAGTGCAGCTACCCTSCTGCAATGACAGACCACCTGACATTACTCTGTACAGTCATACAGCGCTTAAAGTAAATACACCCTACAGCTCCAGCCACCCGTATAGTCTCTCTCATCTGGCTTCATGGGAAGCAAATCTTACACTACYAATGGGCCAGTAACACACACATGAAGAACAGAATTTCATAGAGTTTCCAGGTCCTAAAGGCTTTAGCAGGGATTTACTGTAGTCTCTAAGAAAAGAGAAGTTTTTCAGGAGACTGTAAAATTTTCTAAGATGGATGGCTAAGGCTCCTAACACAGTCTTGCATCAACATCCCCTTTCAGTGGATTGGGTAAAAACAGCAACAGGAGGTTGAACCTCATCACTTGTTCAGTGGCAGGAATGGACTGGAACACCTCAGTAAAAAGGGACAGTGACCAGGAAGTGGGATGGAAGGATTCAACCAGCAAKGTCCGTCTCCTGTGAAACCAACCGTTTAATCCAGAGGTTTCCTGGCAGGTTCTCACTGAACAGCAGACAAACATGTTTTTATGATATAACTGTTTTTTAGGCTTCCTCTAGTAATCAGCATAGGAGACAAAGGATTTCATAAGCATGAGAATGAGCATTTCCATGACCATGTGCCAACACATTTTCTTAAGTTAACTAATGAGCATTTACTCTACAATGAGCACTGAGTGCAGTTCTTCATTTATGCTCCTTCCTTCCTTAATATCTGTCATGAACAGCTTGAAGGATTACATTTGTGTTTGATGGATCACCAAGTGAATTAAACAACTGATGACGCACCTCATCAAATTTGTTCAGATTGTTGGAAAGAAGACTGACCAATTGTCCAGTACTTATTTTATCTAGAACTCTGCTTGACAGTTTTAAGATCTGTAAAAGAAAACAAAACCATAGAAAAATTGTCATCTAAGTTATTTCCATTAAACAGAATAAATAAAGATAAAAATGAAAAGYAATGGTACAGCAGTATAAATAATAATCCACTTATCTGTTTATGCTATAAAGGAAGTCTCATTAAACTTGTTATTTATGTCATTTGAATTCAATATAGCCATTAAATTGCTTTAAAAATATTGATTTATTGACTTAGTCCTTGCTTTCTGCTGAATATTTTATGGATATAGATATATATGCAAATACAAGTTTTAATTAAGCATGCATGCTGTGGGCTGCTGTGCATCCTCAAAAATCTCCTACTGTTGTCCCTCTTGACAAATATTTGTGAAAGATGCTTTCACTGTGAGCTTTATACTAGAACAAGTAGCATGTTTGTTTAAATTAGCTGCTTTGGGTATTGGTAAAACAAAGTAACTTTTTTAAACTTTGTATTTTTGAACACGTGATGGATCAATATCTGTTGATTCGTCATGCTCTAGAGATGTCACATAGTATCACTCAAACTCAAGCCCTTCAATGTTACATTTTTTTTTAAATCTTCCCCTCTGATTCTCTTTTGAAGATATTCTTTAGCCACCAGCATGTTATTCTACCTTTGCAGTRCACATTTTTAACAGAAGCTCAATGGTAGAACCATTAAGTAATCTCACTACATATCCAGCAAATCTGAACTCACAGAGGCTAATTTCAGTTGAACAGCTCTAGACAGGTATTTGATTCTTTGAACTGGGAAATGGAGAGCTGTCAGAATCTGTTAGCCACATTATCTTCTGTGTACTTCGTGTAYCTTGACAAAACTATCAATCTCTCAACAAACTAGCCTACAAGTTACATAGGCTACAGACAGAGGCTTGGCTTAGAGTGTAAATGAAGCCATTACCTTCTTATAAATCAAGCTAAACATAGCTATCCTCATTTGCATTCCAATATGATGAAGACCAAATATAGCAGGGTGTATAAGCAGTGTTCTCACAAAGAAGAGAAGGCACAAGCCAATGCCCAGGTAGTAGGCTATGGATCTTTCATTAGAGTTGTCCGGATCATAGGAAGCTATTATTCTGCCCAGCAGTAGGGGTTGCACAGATTTGGTGACTTCCTGCAGACAGAAACAAGAAAAATAATTCTGGTCAGCAGTTTGCTAATTTTTTTCAAAATGACATTTAAAGTTTATATCTTAAATGAGGAAGTCAGGCCTGTTTGCTGTGCAAACCACAGAAAATTGCAGTAATTGCACAGGAGGACAGACAACTATTGCTGTATGTGATGCTCCTGCAACTCCACCAAAGTAAATTAGCTCATAAGTTTTCATTTTCTACAAATGTGACAACTGAGATTAGCTTCACATTTACTTTACAGAGTTGTGATGGATTAGCCATATCGTATGACTGAATCCAGTTTATCGAGCTGGATCTCTGTTATGGTCCCTAAGAACAGTTCTCCCTGCAYTTTACTGGACTTACAAGATGCAGGAAGCTTCAGAACTTCTGCAATGAACACCACCATTCTCACAAGATAGTGAGAATATAACTAAAACAAAAAGTAAATTGAATAGCAACAGAAGTATAAATAATTGGGTCATCCTACTCAACAGTTCTAGACATTGAATCCATTTTTGAAACAAAAGCAGGAGGAAAGAGAATAAATGGTAAGGARGCAATAAAAGTCCCAGAAACAAAAGAGTCCCTCTTGCATTGGAAGTCCCAGCACCTCCCACCTCAGGATGAGCAGCATGGCAGAAATTCAGGATCGGAGAAGAGAAAGAGGTAAGGTTCAACTACTAAACCACAAGGTATCCAACTGATTCGCTAAAGCCCTGACCTCACTTCAGTTTGCTACTACATTTGTCCTCTGTCCCCTTTTCCATTGTAATTAAACCCCACAAGTGTTACTTCACCTTTGATAGGACAGAGAGGGAAATGAAAGKCATTCTCACACTTTCACTCCTCTAACCTCATCTTTTTCCATCTCTGCCTCTTGCCTCCTCTTTCCTTCCCCAGTCTTTCCCAAAGAAATACAAAATCACCTGTGTGCTGTGGTCTAACATTTTGCTTCATCTTCTGCATGAGCTTCAGAAGAATATGAAGTATGTATGTGCTCCTTTTCTTCACTGTTTTGTTCAGTTTAAAAATACATAGTGTTATGAACTTGTATGTATCTCCTTATCCTTGTTTCAGTTGTGTTGCAGCAGAAAGCATCTGATACTTCCAAAGTAACAAGACACCATTGAATTCTGTTTTATAGAGATGCGCTAAATTCTGCCAAAAAATTATTGGTACTGTCTTCCAGATTAAAACCACACAGACAACCACAGAGACTCAGAGAAGTAAGCTGGTAAAGTTCAGCTGTAATTAATGTCCTATTGTGATAAAMAGGTTGGGAAAATCCCCTTAAATTCTTTCCTTCTCCTTTGAGTGCTCTTACGAAAAAGCAATCCCAAGTACTTTTATAACCTATACTSTCGCCCCTTTTGAATGTCCCTGTTGGTGAAGCTGATACTCATCATTCACTTTTTCCACAGAAGAGGTAAAATATTACCTCTCAAATAGCATACCTGTGCTATGTGCTACATTTCCCAAATTAAACATCACTCTGCCCCAACACAAATGCTGTGAATCTGGGGSAGCTTTGACAAAGACTTCAGTGTTATTAGTAGGCAAAGGGAGGAGTGTTTATTAAAAAACACATGACCCAAGACAGCTGTGCTTGAACCATATGCATCCCAAAGCATCAAACCAAAACTCCCCAAAACTCACAAAACACAAAACATTCACCTCTCAAGGACAGTACAGCAATTTCMTATTCTTGGAGATCCCAAGATAAGCTTTTCTATATAGGCTTAAAATAGCAAGGGGTTTTTTGTGTGYTTACTTTTATTCAGAAAATTACATGCTTTGCTGATGTGTTTGTTGTGACTATAAAGGTATTGCATATATTCTGAGCTTGCTGGAAAAAATTATGATTTACAGTCTAGCATAGTGACTGGCAATAAGCCAAGTCATACACTATCTCATGGGGCATAAAAGTCCACTCGTTTACAATGGAGATTTATCAGCTTGCTTACCAAAGATATTATCTAGTCTACATAAAAATCAAAGCCGAACTACCTAGTTTTCCTTTCTCCTCTTGTAAACTTGAAATTACCCACTGATATGAATAAACCAATTAGAACAACCTACCTAAAAGAAAGAATGGAATTTGTACACCTAACAGAAAATTCAGTTTTTAAGTGTCATGTTTTGCCTTCTCCTGTACTTACTCCTCCCTCTGTATTCATCATAGGCTGCTGAGAAACTCATAAATGTTCTCCTCACAGAAATCTTAAGAAAGCAAAGATCTAAAGGAAAGTGAGATTATGACACAGGGTATTGTGCTAATCTGACCTGGTATAATTATTCTTACGCAACAGGGACTTTTATGTTAAATTTATCTCCCATATGTTCAAACACTCTCCATTTGAAGACAATAATGCACATCTCTTCTTTGGCATATGRCCAAGAAGTGCTTCCCTCCCTGCATCCTCACTCACACCCGTGACCCATATGTAAGAACTTCAGGAAATCCTCATTAGGGTCCTTTGGGATATGATACTAAAGYCACTTCCAAGTTAATGTTAGCAGCTGTTGCGCCTGGGTGGAAATCTAAATTTCATGGCGTTGAATATAAGACCCAMATACAAATAGAATCAAACTGATCCTCACAGCACCTAGTTGGTTAGCATGTATCAAGCTAAAAAGCAAGATTTTTCTTTCACCACCATAACACCTTTTCTTTACGTTGCAAGACTCATGTTCTGATAGGGTGTAGAATGGAAACTGTCTCAAACAGGAAGGGAGAAGATACATTAAGTGCAGTAACTCAATGTGCCCAACATAACTCTATTYATGAGGGGGAGTCACAGCACTCTAGGGGGCCAGAGCACAAGCGTCCACTCTACAATAATTTGATTASCTGCAGCACATCAGGGACAGGGGAGAGGCAGAAAAAAGGCCAGACCTAACGACAGCAAAGCTGTGATGCCAGTTGAAAGGACAACTACACAAACAGGAGGGATGTCAGCAGAGTTTAAACCACAGTGCAAGAAAGATGGCCATGAAAATGGCTCAGAGATTAGATAAGAGAAGAGCTAAAATGAAAATGAAGTTCAAAAGAACACACAACTTGGTTACACCTATGCCAGTACGGCACAACATCCTGTCCCCTTTCAAATTAATGGCAAAGCTCCCATTAATTTCCTTGCGCAAGGCCTGCAAAGAACAGCAGCAGCTTTAGGAGCCTTTTTTTTCTTTTTTTTTTTTAATTCCTCTTTCAATAAAATGAAGCAGCTTTCAATTAAATCAACACTAATGATAATAGAATCTGGAATTTAAACTAAGATTTAAGATTTCCGTGTTCATTGTGAAAGGTGCAGATTCATTTACTGTGTTTGATTGCAGACATCTGTGATTTCTTATGAAAGCTTTAAAAAAGAACAAAAACAAACAAACAAAGAATATGACCCAAAAATCCRGCAGTCTTGTTCTGTCCTCACCTGGTCTGAAACTGTACTCCATTTAAAAAGTCCACAAGAAGAAATCAACCCTGCACATCATGCCCACACACATTGCCTAAACTAAGGGTGAATATTATCCTCAAGACTGCCTGCAAAAGCCCTCAGACATCGCTTAACTTTTAACAGGAATGCATTAGTGCAAAGGCTCTGGCTGGCAGACTTTGCGGGAACAGCTATTACAGTGCATGGGAGGCTGTATTTGTAGAATCATTTTGTTGGTGGTGTTTTTTTTTTAATATAAACCTATCATGAATAAGGAATTACTGGCTTGGTGAATAAAAACGTTTAAAATTTAAAGGCAGTAATGAGATCACAGGAGCACGTAAAAGATATGATTGAATAGGGGTCCACAAATACTATATGCCATCCCAGAGAAGAGCTGAYGAAAACAGTGAAAGAGTAGAGAGAGAAGGGCTCTCATGCAGACCCATAAACAGCAAGAGGCTCTGTCTGAGGTTCTTAACTGCCCTATGAGGACAAAGATAATTCAGGGTCCAATACCTAAAGTGTATCCCCTGACACTACACTACCCCCTGCATCCAGCAAAGAATGGAAASTCTCCTTAGCTTTTTGCTGCCAATGYATTTATAGAAACTTTTTTTACATGTTTTTAAACTGCAGTGGCCAAATTTAGTTCCAGTTTGGCTTTAGCCCTTCTAATTTTCTCCCTACATAACCTCCAAACATCCTTTTAGTCCCAAATTGCCTGCCCCTCCTTGCATAGGTGATACACTCTCTTTTTTACTACTAAATAAGAGAAACTTATAAATAACAGATATATTTCATGCATATATTAGTTAACAGCAATTTTCAGATTTACAGTCTTGCTCACAGATACTTAGTGAGACAACATTAGCAATAAATTATTTTCACAGCTCCTAACCCTAGTGATAGGATTGTCAAACAAACAGGTGGCATTTGGTAAGTCAAGGTAATCCTACCTAACATGCTGGAAAGGTGATAAACGTAATCAGTTCAGGCTTTCACTTCAAGTTCCTGATCACACACTTGGGAGCACTAACAGCACTAATTAATTTAAMAACTCTTCATATGTATGTTTTAAATATATTCAGCCCTTACCAGTAAACCCTTTTTTTAATGAATGCCCCTGAGTATATCTCTGTATTTATCACCTTTGTAAGCAAGACACAGAGAAAAAAAAATCTATGACTATTTACAGTATTCTGTATTAATTTAGCAGTCCCTAAGACTTGGATCTATTTATGAAATACTAAAACCTTACTGAAGAGAAGAACAATTCTTACCCCTAGATATAATATTATTCCATAGAACATAAACTTCCAGAAAAAGCATCGTCGAAGAGCATTAATGAGTTTGGGTTTCGTCTTTGAAGTTGCCAGCTCTCTGTCCCATTCTCTGAAAAGGAACCAAAAAACAGAAMCATTAAGTTGCATGAGCAAATACATGGGTCTGTGGCTCTGACATACTTCAATTCACTCATGTATATCCAAGGAGATTTAGCTAAGGTGGCTAATGAAAGAAAGATTTGCAGAGACCACAAGGATGTGACCTTCACAGACATGATAGATCARTAGAAGTTCAAATCTAGTTCAGCCACATATTTGGTAGTTTTAAATACTTGGTCATACATCACCCCGCAGGGAATTATTTCATGAAAAGGTCACATTGTATGTTTTAAAGAAACCTGCTGTACTTAAAACCAAAGTACAATAATAGGCAAATAAATGTTTTGGAGCTTTTCCAGTCTGCAAAAAAAGAAAGCATCAACAAAGCATCAAAAATATGACTTTTCTACTGCACAGCACAATTTTTAACCTGTGCTGCTGGGGCAGTAACTTTCTGTTCAATAATAAATTGTACATCAGAAGCAGTGCTGTATAAGTTATTAGGAGAACTTAAGTTTCAGCAAAATTCAACTCATATATTAAAGCGTTCCTGAGAATTTCCTCAGCTATTTCCTCCATTTTTCAACAGAATATTAAATAACCAGAATATTTAATTTATAAACTACCAAAATGTATTAAGCATACCAATGCTCTCAATAAATTTCACCGGTTTGGAATACTTATGCCACACTGCAACTAAAATTGACTGGGTTGGTAAAACAGTGCAGACAGAAGCTGCCCTGGAACACCAATGAAAGCTACACCATCATTTGGGGGAGAGGAAATGGCTTTAGACAACTGTATTTTAAGAGTTAGTCACAAGTGCAGCACAATTTCTGTGGAATTAGAACCCACTGAAATAGGGTAAAAACAAATGGAAGCCTAAATGAGGAAAGTTAGAGTATGATATCTGCAGAAACAATTAGTCTGTCAACAGTGGTATCAAAGGAAATTAAGAATGTTATTTCATTGAAGGTAAAAAAAACCCCAAGGTTTTACAAGGTTATTCTGGAAGAAAGAACAGCAGAAAAAGGAAACTCATGGAAACATTGAGACTAGCCTCACTCATCAACCTGAAATTGTGCAGGATCTGCTGCTCCAGCTGAATCCCTACAAATCTATGGTGCCTAATGGGATTCATCCAAGAATCCTCAAAGAGCTGGCTGATCTCATCACGAAATCTCTCTCGATTTTTGAGTGGCCTTGGGAATCTGGAGTGGTCTCAGCTGATTGGAAGTTGGCAAATGCTGTCCCAGTCTTCAAGACGGGCAAGAAGGAGGACACCAGAAAATACAGGCGTGTCAGTCTCACTTCAGTGCCTGGTAAAGTCATAGAGAAGATTATTCTGGGARGTATTGAAAATCACCTGAAAGACCATGCAATCAATGGTCACAGCCAGCATGGCTTCATGACAGGAAAAAGTCCTGCTTTTCAAACCTGATTTCATTTTACAACAAGATAACCCACCCAGATCAAGGGAAGCCAGGAGATGCGATCYTTTTGGATTTCAGTAAAGCTTTTGATTCTCTTACTGCATCCTTCTGGACCAAGAGTCCATCCCCYGGGTGGATAAACTCGTGTGCTGGGYGAGCAGATGGCTCACAGGTCAGGCATGAGGGTTACGGTGAATCCAGACATCAGACTGGTGACCTGTCACTAGTGGGGCTCCACAGAGCTCCGTCCTCAGCCCTGTGCCCTTCAACATCTGCAGAAATGACTCAGACACAGGATGGGAAGGGCACTGAGCAAGTTTGCAMATGATACAAACCTGGGAGGAGCTGTTGACTCCTTCAGGGGTGGAGAGGCCCTGCACAGACCTCGACAAATTAGGGAACAGGACAATCACCAGTCATAGGAARTTCAACAAGGGATGGTGCTGGATTCTGTACCTGGAATGGGGAACCTTGGATGTACAGGCAGACTGGGGAATGAGATCTTGGAAAGCAGGGCTAGAGAAAGGGATCTGGGGGTCCTGGTGGATGGATCAGCAGTGCCCTGGCAGCCAGGAGGGCCAGCCCTGTCCTGGGGGCATCAGGCACAGCATCACCAGCCAGGCAGGGAGGGGATTGTCCCACTCTGCTCTGACCTGGGGTAGCCTCACCTCAAGTGCTGGGGGCAGTTTTGGGGGGCAAAATATAAGAAAGATACAAAACTGTTGGAGAGTGTCCAGAGGAGGGCAATAATGAGGGTGAAGGCCCTGAGGTGAAGCCGTGTGAGGAGCAGCTGAGGGCACTTGGTCTGCTCAGCCTGGAGGAGACTGAGGAGAGACCTCACTGCAGTTACAACTTCCTCAGGAGGGGAAGAGGAGAGACAGRCACTGATCTCTTCTGCGGTGACCAGTGACAGAACCTGAAGGAATGGCCTGAAGTTGTGTCGGAAGGTTTAGGTTGGATTTTAGAAACAGATTCTTCACCTAGAGGGTGGTTGGGCACTGGAACAGGCTGTCCAGGAAAGTGGTCACAGCACCAGCCTGACAGAGCTCAAGCAGCATTTGGAMAATGCTTTCAGGCACATGGYGTGCCTCTTGGGGATGTCCTGTTTAGGGCCAGGAGCTGGACTTGGTGATCCTTTTTAAGGATCCCTTGACAAGGGTCACTTTAACTCAGTATATTCTGTGATAYTGTGATCAATGGCAGATATCACAGCTACCTGTATACARTAATTTAGAGCATACAGGTGGTACRTCTGCACCAGGGATCCCAGTCAACTTCAAACTACAAATGTGGGCAACCAGCTTGTACCCAATGCTATTTAAACATTTCACCCAAATACTTTTTAAGGAAAACTRCAATGTGATTCCTTAAACAAATTTATTCCATTAATCTTTCATACCTTTCCAATTTTTCAGAAAGATTATCAGCAGAGTCTGAAGAAGGGACTTGATAAATATCTGAAAGCTCCAACCGTCGTCTGTAACCCTTGTTCAAAATTGGGGTTGTCCAGCTAAGCAAATATAAAAAAAGAGAAAAGGTCAGGAATAAAAAAAATTTCTAACATTAATTCTGGATTTGCTTTGTCTCACCCTGAGTATTTTGTCCACAGCAACCAAGTATGGCTATGTGCACATACTCTCACATACACAATATAGTGCAGCTTTGACTTATATTTGCAAAACTATGTTGATAAATATAATATTAAAAGAATAATTTTGAAACTCCTACATTTTATAAGTTTTGGGATGGAATCATGCCCCAAACTTCCTAGTGAGTCAGTAGGAGACAAATGAACACGGGATTGAATTCTTTGTACCATATTTCCAAATATGCTAGGTGCTATGTCCATATCAATGAATAGTATATCAGAACTACAGTATATGTAAATTTCATTCCTATCTGCTCTGCTCTGGGGAGACCCCACCTGGAGTACAGTGTCTGGGTTTCTCAGCACAGGAAGGACAGCAGCCTGTTGGAGCAAGTCCAGAGGAGTCCACGAAGGGGATTAGAAAGATGGAGTGTGTCTCCTTATGAAAYACGGCTGAGAGAGCTGGCATTGYTCATCTTGGAGAAGAGATAGCTCCAGGGAGGTCTTAAAGCAACCTTCCAGCACCTAAAGGGAGTCCCTGAGACAGCTGGAGAGGGGCTTTTTACAAGGCCATGTAATGACAGGACGAGGGGGAATGACTTTAAACTGAAAGAGTAGGTTWTGATTAGATATTAGAAAGAAATTCTTTACCATGAGCATAGTCAGACACTAGAACAGTGTGCCCAGAGAAGTTACAGATGTGCCATCCCTGGCAGTGTTCAAGGCCAGGTTGGATGGGACTTGGAGAAAGCTGATCCAATGGAAAGTGTCCCTGCCCATGGCAGGGGGCTGGAACCCAATGGTCTTTAAGGTCCCTTCCAACACAAGCCACTCTATGATTCTATGACRTCTTGCATTGCAGCATGCACTTAACAACACAAATCTTTCACAGGACTCCTCATAAGAACTTCTTTGTGTCCACTATATACACATGCTTTGCATTTGTTTTTTTCAAACGTCGTGTTTAAAATTTTAATACTGATTTAAAGGGCATGCTGAAATTAAACAAAGCAGGAAAAGACTGCTCTGAATGGCTACTCTATAGAGAATATCTTTATAAGCATGACAAAATTTATCAAACAATTCAGCTTTAAAAAGGCCCATGAACCCCCAAGRATCATCTTGCACAAAATTTTTCACCAGATTCTGTTCAAAAATCTTTCTGAAAGCAAGGACTAGATTTGAACTAATGGTGTACTTTGAAACTACTTGAATTTCTGCTTTACTGTCATCAATAAAAAATATTTCTTTAAAAAAATGAAATGCCTGTAAAATAAGTAGCTTGTGGTCAATCGCTATCATGCTTCCATATGTAAACAAGAGTTATATTGATTTATGATAATGATAAAATTCTGCAAAATCTCAATAATTTCAAAATTTTTGTTTTAAACATTCTTTATAGACAACAGCTAAAAAATTACAAAATATATACAATAATGTTTCCCACAGTCACTTAAAAATTACAAACAATTGGATATGCTTATCTGTATGCTTGTAAGAACATATGTCATACACAGAAAACAATCCACGTTTTCATTGCAGCCCCTGAAGGTGCAAAGAAGTTGATTTAAAGGTAAAAGAACATCATCAAACACTATTCAAGGGCAAAAAGGCCTTAGTACAACAGATGAAGACTACTTGTGTGCAACTGTGCAAGTACGCACACACGCACACTTTAACATTTACTTTAATGAAGTTATTAATTGCATGAGGCAGCAGTCTATAATCCCCATAATTGAGTAAATCACCAAAACGTTTCCCAAGTGCACAGTTATATCACACCCACTGCAAAGAGAATATGCTCTAAGAAAATGAAGAATTATCCTTCATTTCTGCAACAATAACATGGTTTCAGATGAATCAAATGACTTCTAGCTCAGTCCTTTACACCACTGTAGCTGAGAAATAACAAGTGATTTGTGGTACATCACAGGAAGGCAGCTAGGAGAGTCCACTTTGGAGAGCAATTCGACTCTCATTTTACCATTTGGGGATGGCAAAACATCCATAAACTTCACAACTAATGGAAATAGGGGCCAGTATTTCCAGGGATAAAATGGATAAGAAGAAAACCTTTGAGTTTCATGTAACACTTAATGCAAAAGTCTTTCACAGCTACTGCAARAAGGTGTATCAGGTACTGATTTGTATTTTTCCAGCTCCTGAAGACAGAAAGGACTGGTTGCTACTGGCTTTGTGCTCATCTTGTGAAGAACTGGCTAATCCTAATTCAGGAATAGAAACTCTCATGAACCAGATTCAACGAAATCCTGTATATGCAGACATTTCACTTATGACAGAATGAATACAAGTTATGGGGCACAAAATCACTATTGCAGCTAATGCAAATAAGTAAATGTACTTCCTAAGCAACTTCTTCAATTCACAACATTGTAGCTAAGGAGTAACCTTCCTGAGCCCCTTAATAGTGCTTTGAGACTGCAAAAAGCAATTCCCAACTTGACAAAAGATAAATGCTTTGCAGTTTCACATTTTATGTTTTGGGAAAACATTTTTTCTCCACGTATTTGATTTTATTTATAGTTTTTATTAGCACCTACCCTGGCATTTTGTCACAGCATGAACTAACAGAATGTGATTGCATTTAGAAAGCGAGCWGAGTGGCTGTATTTTCATTTGGGGAAGGCAGCATGCTTAGCAGATCTACTGTATTACTAGAAATGTCTCTCATTTTACTCTGTGATCAGCTGTGCTAACCAGGTGTATTTATCATTGCCATCGAAATTAAGTGATCCCTAAACAACCCTCCTCTCCCAAGTTGGCGTTTGACGCAGACTTTCACTGTCCTCATCCTCATCTCACTGCTCCTCCAGGTAGCTCTAACTGTGGTAGATAAACTCCTCCAACAGCTAARGGAGCAGGGCTGACACCTTTCCCTGGGCATCTCTTAGCCTGCAGCCTGGTTCCTACTGCAAGCTGCTGGCAGAGATCTCCATCTCCCAGCTGTGCTGGCCGTGCTTGGAAGTCCCACCCTAACCAGATCTGGCCAATTTGTGTGCTGTGCCAAGTGGCTTTGGGTTGAGTGGTAATCGTGCGAGGAGCTGGCCTGACATGTGATGTTTGTCTCAAGGTAGATTTTCAACAGCTGCTTGAGTTGCACTGTCAAGAATTGTGGGAGACACTATRTATTTTATTAAAAGGAATATACCAAACCTAAAATACATAAATATGTCATAAAACCAACTTTTCGCCAATTCCAATAGCATCCAAATTGCCAGTATGTTCTAGATTCTTTGCAAAGTTTTGAAATGCAAAATGACTATGAAATTATTTTAACTGGCAATATAATCTGTAGTTTTCCCTGYTTCCATAACACTAGGTGACATAGCTCAGTCAGCTTATCAATGAATATGGCTTTTCTATTTTTTGACTTGGAAACTGTTTGATACTGTTAATGCTGAGTTTTTTCTTGTGGCTGTTGAGAAGAGATATTTACTCTGAAAGCAAGAGAGCAAGAAGGAAAGGAAACAGATTGGCTTTACAGCATTATGTTAGCAAATGCCATCGGATTACTGGCTGGCATTTAATGAACCCTCTCACAGAGAAACCTGTAGTGCTGTAAGAGTTTTGTCACTAACTAAGAATGTTATTATGGGTACATGCATATGAAACCCAGCAGGAAACAACTTTCAAAGGTGTAGAGTAGGAAAGAATAAAAGAAGGCAAGTTCCACATCTATTATCTACTGCCTGTAGCAAAAAATACATCATGAACTTGGTGTGTAAATATCATATAACATACTCTTGGGCAGATTTTAATGACCATTTCTTTGTCATTTACTTAAGCAGTATGTAACAGATTTTGTATTGCAGATATTGCTTTCTCAAGCATGCTCCGACTCATCCCACTCAAGTAAATTGTATCAATAGGCCAGATGTCGTCTTTCCAGAGAGTATTAGCACAGACAATTTGTCAATAGGATTTGACTCACCCTTAAGGCTGCTTTGCATGTCACTGAAGACAGAAGGAGCATCTGTGATGCTAAGCCAACTGCCCATATCTTCCTCCTGGGCACAGGAATACCCTAACTCCATCAGCCTCTTCAGACCAAGAAGCAGAGCTCGTTACAAGGGTCACTGGTCAGACTGGTACYATTTCAACAGGTGCTCTGTGCACAGCACAGCAACATCTGCTGAGCAGTGCAAAGGTGACCATGGTTTCACTGACATCTATAAACAATAATACCTGAGCACAATATTGTTAAAGCATAGTGACTGCAACTCCTGAGGAACTGGGCCTAAAATTCAACGGAAAGAGCAAGAAAAGAGCCTCTGCCTTTAACTTATCCTTTCTCCTAACATTTTAGGGATGGGGAAGGCTGGGGGGAGAGAGAGTAAGGAACTTAATCAAGCCATGATTATGATGCTTGGGAGCCTTTTTTTTCCCAAGATGCTTGTAGAACCATGAATTCTTACCAGTGGCAAGAAAAGGTTGAGGTACCATGTAGGTCTCAGACATTCCCAAAGAGTCAATCCTGACCAGACTCTGTCAGAGGCTCTGCACTCCCATSCTCTCACAAAATATGCCCACCACTCCCATAGCAGCAAATTGTTGCTTACTTTACACAGGAAGTGGCAGCTTTACTACACCCAAAAGTGTTTCTTCAGAAGAGTGKCTGCACCACCAGCTGTCTCCTCTGAGTGTCCCATAATGCAGCTGTAAAAGGTGAGCCTGGCTTTTTGTGGTCCTTGCTAACAGATGGGACAAGTCAGCATGCCCATGGAGCACAACTGTCAGACACCACACCCTTATTCCTGCCCCTTGGTTACCCTCAACAGAGTAGGGCTGCATTTATTTTATTTTGAATAGTAACCTACTGAAATAGCATGCTATATATTCTGAAAACTATATTAAACTTTTAGCATTTTTCCCATTATAAACAAAAAATGCAATACTATTTA